AAAAAAAAAGGCACAAGAGGTAGGAACTCGAGAAAACAAGCAAAAAAAGAAAAGAGCAGCAGCAAAGTGCTTGGAAGCAGCCGAGGCTTTTTAGGACTGCCAGTCCCTCTGACGACGCACGGAATTGCTCTCTCCTTGATTGTCTTTGTTTCCAGGGTGCCCTCGAGCAGCCCAGGTTTCGGGGAGCAGCATCCGAGTTCTCGGGGCAGCGCCGGGTGCGGATACGGTTGGGAGGATGGGGAAGAAAGAAGTTTGGCAGCGGCAGGACTCCTGCCAGGCAAGGAAGCCGACAGCCTCGCGGCTCTGCACAACAGCGGGCGGCTCCTCCAGCCCACGGTCTCCCTCCTGCAACGCTTCTCCGCTCCGCTGATGCAGAGTTTGCAGGTGAAGGGGGTTTAGGTTTCACTGATGGAACATCTACCCGATTTTGGCAGGGAAGGCATCAACTCTCCGAGCTGGAATATAAAACTTGGAAGCAAACAAACAAACCACAGACACCCCCCAAAAGGCTCATCCTCGACTGTTAAACCCATCTTGGTTTTTTACACCGAGTTTTCAGGTTCTGTCCATTAGATATTTGTCCCAATTACTTGCCTTGTGCTTCTTGTACCTCATCACTTTTGCTGCTTTAACGAGGGAGCGCTCAGCCAACAGATGTTTATTCGCTTCTCCAACTAGAAAGAGGATGGCAGAGATTGTCGATACGACTTCCTAAAGTGCAGAGCAGCCCCCTGAGAGTCTGTTGGCAGCCACATACATAACAGCTCTCAGTAAAAAAAAATAAAAAAATAAAAAATCCAGCTCTAACTGTTTGAATTTAAACAGAAGGGATGACAAACAAGTGACAGCATGGAAGGATTATTTTCTGTCTCAAGACTTGGGTTGTCTGAGCTGAAAGGAACAAACGTAACGCTACAGATCAGGGAGGGGTGAAAGCTGAAGGAGCTTTCAAGCAAAAAGCAAAACTGCTGATTTCATCCCCGTGCAGGATAAACTGTTCCAGACCTTTTGCAACCCGTTTGCACATCGCTCCTTTCACATGTATGTCTCTAACGGCATCAGATATATCCTGGTAACGGTGAGCCTGGTCAAACTCAGTGCCACGAGTTATAAAGCAACCAACGACCGGGTGGAACACCCCAAAGAAATAATCAAGGGGGTGTATAAAGCTTAGAAGGCACAAAGCATTAAGAGGAGGAACCAGAAGCTGAGAGATGAAGAAATCCAAAGATGCTTCGTGTTTCCGAAGGCAGCTGAGCATCAGAGTGGAGCGAGGGCGCGGAGAGCAGGTGGCAGCGCGTGGCACGAGCGGAGGAGGTAGCTAAAGGCTCAGCAGGTATTTTAACC